CCACATCACGGGATGTGAGTATTTCCTTATCATTTGACCATTATTGGGTTTTACAAATGTCATCTGAAAATTTCAGTCATTTGATTAGCGTACTTTAGAATTGCCCTTGAATGCCCTTTCGATAAACTCACGGATGGCCTGGAAGCAAGAAATTCTAAACCAATCAGATTGGCTTAGTTCGCGTGAATATTTATACGGATCGTTTCCTTTCTGAACGCACACACCGTGAATCGAACTCAACATCGGACAGATTTTGCTCTACTTCTGAAAGCGTTTTCGCTCCATAATGACGTATCTAATTGTCGAAATTTTCACTGTTATAGCGTTGGTCCTCTGGCAATATCTGAAGTCGTTTGTTCAGTTTTTTTTCCCTCCTCCACGGAAGGACATCAATGGAGAAATCATTTTTCTGACGGGCGCGGGAAGCGGTCTTGGTCGCATGTTAGCCTTCAAATTTGCCAAGCTTGGAGCCACAGTGATCTGCGTCGACATAAATCAAACTGCTAACGAAGCTACGGTGGAAGAAATCAAATCTCTTGGCTTCCAGGCTCGGGGCTATAAGTGTGACTGTAGCAGCCGAGATGACATTTATCGAGTGGCCGAACTTGTAAAGAACGAAGTCGGCGAAGTCACAATTTTGATCAATAACGCAGGGATCGTCAGCGGCAAAAAATTCATGGAAACAGAAGATTGGAAGATTCAGAAGACCTTTGAGGTTAACACGATGGCACACTTTTGGGTGAGGTTACATTAATGTTGTGTACGTAAGAGTAAAATATATTGTGTGAACACCAGCGCACGAGGCCTGTATGAACGTGTGTTTACACACATTGCACTGTTGTCGAACTGAAACGAACACGTCAAAGGTCATGTTTTCTAAGATTTCTTTTCTTTTTCTTTATCGCGTTTGATTTTGTCAGGTATTTCATTCAAATCACTTTGTAGCTTCATTTGTTGCTTCGTTTCATCGGTAAGGCTCGAATGAACGCTTTTTTGGCATGTTCTGCTCATCTCGGTCAAGGTCCAAATTCAAGTGGTATGGTGGGGAGAGGGGTGGGGTGTGGATGTATTCCTCCCTCTCTTGTGGTTAATAATCAGGAAACCAAAATGGGCAATGTATTGTTCCAGATTGTTCAAGGGAGGTTCTTCTTTTGAATTTCCAACCCCTCGGCAAAATTCCAGTTCAGCTACACATGATCATACTTTCCAAATTATTCCCAAATTGGCCAGACAGGCAAGACTTAGTTTAACCTCTAAAGTTTTTGCTAGTGTTATGGAACAGGTTCTCCAATTCAAGTGACAATTATTTGGAATTTTTTTGTTTAGTTTGTGAAACAACGAAAAAGGTGAAATTTGACTAGATGTTCATTTGAAGGGAACTCTCCATCATTGCAGCACAATTTGCACAAATTATTCAAGTTGGCTAGGGCATTCAGTGCTAAGTTTTAGTGTGTTTTATATTTCCCATATTAAGTGAAATAATACCAACTCTGTGCCAACGAAAGATCATGGTTTATCGGCAATTTGTTTTTACAACTGACGGTATATTTAACAAATTGACACTAGTTTTGTATGCATCTGTCCAAGATTTGATAATAAATTTTGTCATAACATTAATGTCAAAGCAGCTGTGGATACAAGGTACATACATGTAGCCAAGTGCGTCCACAAACTTCTTTGACAATGTTATAACAAAATTTATCATCAAGAGTAGGACAGAGGCTTATTTAAGAGCTGGTGTCAATTTGTTTTTTTTTTTACAGTAACAGAAAGCCAAAACAATCAAGGGTAGACCTCTGATAAGAGAAATCACTGGAACAAAGCGTGAGAGAACCTGAATTTCATGTAGTCAAAATGATCTGAAGTCATGATGTCATAAACTTCAAACTAAATTACAGCTGTACATACAAATACTACTGAAAAACTAAACTGCAGAAATGGAATTTCTGTAATTTATTAACCTCTATTCCATTCAGAAATTCTTGAAAACCAGCTGTATTACTGCCAAGTTCAGTTAACTTGAGTCAGATCTTTAGTTAGCACTTCTGTATTTTGAACAAGCTTTAAGCCTATAGGTAAAAAGAGTCTAAATATATGATTGATTTTATTGATTGACCAGTACTTTGAACACAGACAGAAAAGTAGAATCTGTTCATAGAGATTGACGTCAAACTTTGACTTAAACACATGTTTTTCACCATGCAGTTGAATCTAATCTAAAATTTTATAAGTTATCTTAAACAATTTTGTTCTCTCTTTGAGGAAACTCATGATCTATATGTGTCTGCTCTTATTTTAGTCAATTAAGGCAGGGGTTTCATTCACATTTTCAGCAGGAGCAGGCCGACTCAAAAAAAAAAGTTGAATTCCAGCTTGCTCTTGGGACAAGTAGCTCTAAAATTTTGGTGCCCTGGGCAAGTCTTAGTTTGCTCTTTTAATGATTTAGTTGGCACATGACTTGACTGATCCCTTGCCTAAAAGGCAAGTCAGAGTGAAAAGTTATTTGTCTAGAGGGAGAATCTACCTCTCCCGGATTAGCAGAGGGCACTTTTTTCAAGCCCTGATCTTGCAACTGATTTTCGCAAGCTGGCGAAGGTTTTTGAAGTGAACTTCTTGCAACAAAAACCTTCCTCTAGATGGTCAAACCAGACAGGCAAAATCATCCTCACGGCCAGTCAAGTTGCCTGCCCAGTGCTCAGCTCTTAATGAAACCCCTGATAAGTGTGCAAGAAATTGAACAATTTACATTAACATAAGTTTTGTCTTTTTACCCTTACAACAGACTACAAAAGCCTTTTTACCATCCATGCTGGAGAGAAACCATGGTCATGTTGTGACAATAGCATCATCTGCTGGCCTGTTTGGAGTGTGTGGTTTGTGTGATTACTCTGCGTCGAAATTTGGAGCAGTCGGCTTTGATGAATCACTGATGATGGAGCTTAATGCAATGAAGAAGACTGGTGTCCATACAACTGTTGTCTGCCCATTCTTCATTAACACAGGAATGTTTGATGGAGTGAAAACAAGGTAAATCCAAGAATTACTACAGTAGAACCTCTCTGTGACGGCCACCTTGGGGTCAGTGAAAAGGGAGGTACATGTAGGGGTGTAATATGACACCTTTTTTCAGGATTGCAACATTTTTATTTGTAAAAATGCCTGTTGTAGCATATAAATAAGTGATGCAATCAAGATATATCATTAACAGAAACAGCAACCAACAATGTGCAGCACCGATCAAGTTTTATTACCTTTTCCAATTAAAAGGGAGGTTTTGTATTCAGGGTTGGTCAGTCATTGATTAACTGGCCATTGTAGAGGTTATTTAGGCAGTTGGGGCCCACTTTAGAGGCTGTTGCCATTACCGTTGTAGAGAGCTGCCCATTGTTGAAAGGTTGAAATAAGAGTGCATGTATGAAC